ATGCTTTTGCATAGTCAGTAAAGCACAAATAAGACATTCTTCTGTAACTCTCTGCTTTCAGCCAAGATCATCTGACATCAGCAGTGATACCCCTGGTGCCATGGCCTCTTCTAAACTCAGCCTGAACTTCTGGCAGTTCTCTGTCAAGTGTACTTGTTTTGCATGATCTTCAATAATATTTTGTTTGCTTATGATATTAATGATACTGTTTGGTAATTTCCACATTGAATTGTCTTTCTTAGGAATAGGAACAAATATGGATCTCTTTGAGTTAGTTGGTCAGGTAACTACTTTCCAGATTTCCTTGCATAGATTGGTGAGCACATCCAGGGCTGCATCTGTTAGTTGAAATGTGTAAGTTGGTATATCAATTTCTGGGGCCATATTTTTGGCCAGTGCCTTCAGTGCATCTTGAACATTTTTCTTCCTTACTGTCAGCTCTTGATCATATGCCACTTCGTAAAATAATTTTTGTGTCAACCAATTCTTTTTAGTACAGTTGATTGTATATATTCCTCCATCTTTTTGATATTGCCTAAGATTTTGCCAATAGCATTGTTCAGTATTGTAATTTCCCCCCCCCCAGTATTGCAATTTGAGGCTTGTATTTATTTTTCAGTTCTCTTAGCTTGAGAAATACCAAGCAAGTTCTTTTTTTTCCTCTGACTCTAGCTTTTTGCACATTCTGTTAGGATACTTTGCTTTGCCTTCTTAAACTGCCCTTTGAAGTCTTCTGTTCATTTAATTTTCCCAACACTATAGTGCAATTTTCATAGTCTCTTGACATTCATTTTGATCTTTTCTTTCTGTCTCTGTAATGACCTTTTCATGTAATGACTCTATTCATGGATGAAATCTTTGATGTCATCCCACAGCACATCTTTGACCATTAGTGCTCAGTGCCTGAAACCTATTATTGAGGTGATTTTTAAATTCAGGTAGCATAGACTCAATGTTGTATTTTGGTTCTTGCAGATTTAATTGTTTTCAACTTCAGTTTGAACTTGCACATAAGTGAGTGATTGTTTTACAGTCAACATCTGGCCTGGTTTTTATAAATATTTTTTCATTCATAAAATGTTTCATGCATGTACATTGTGTTTTATACAGACTTTCATTTATATTTCATTCATGTATATTGTGGAGTTTCCCCCCTTAATATCATGCTACTAATAATTACACTTATGTGAAAGCATGTAATTACAGTTGTGAAAGCATGCACGTTCCTTCATTCCTGGTGCCTTACTATCCCTATTTTATATAGCCAATTTGTGGTTTGCGCATCCTTATCAAAGAGAACACACATAACCCTATAGCTAAAGAATCTTCTGTTCACCTTGGAAACTTTGAGTATCTGCATCCACAAGCAAAGTCCAGTCATCAGGATGCACTAATAAACCCTAGCTCACAGTATGGAGTTTCTTCTCTTCAACTGATGAAGATTGACTTTTGGCCAACTATGAGTGAGCATACTTGCCAGCTCCTTCCAACCTCAAGTTCTGGATGTGGGTTCTCATGTGTCTGGTCTGGTTTTGACTGCTGATAATGAACTTAAGTGATTCTTGCCACAGATGTCCTCTCTCTGATTCCTATGCAGTCCATCAGGTGGGGTCCATGTGTATAATTGCGATTTGTGTTTTTTAAAAAATATACTTGCTATGAATAAGTCATCGAATGTACAAAATTCATTCATTCATTAGTTCTCCATCCTCATTTTTTATCACCATGTCCGAATTTTTCAACCACCATTCCTCTTTCATTGTTTCTAACTTTTGTGTTCCAGTCACTAGTTGTTGTTATTAATGCCTTTTGATTGCATGTTTGGTCAATTTTCACACTGCAAAAGTTGGTACAAATCCTGTTTTCTCCTCTTTGGTTTTAGCTGTATGTGTGCATATTTGAATAATGGTGGTATTTATAGGTATTTCTTGTATGCATATGGATAGTATCCTGTCACTCATAGCATTGCGTTTAAAGATAAATTTTGAAATGGCCATTTTACTATGGTTGCAACACTATTCTTCCTCAATTTTTCATTCCTCGAACAGTAAATAAAAAAAATTGGTTCAGAGTAGTTACAGCTGATCCGTTTCAGTTCACTAGTGCCTAGTATGTCAATATTTACACCATTTCCTTTTTGACAATGCTCACTTTTCCTGTATTCATACTTTGTACGTTTCATGCTCTGATTTAGTGTTCATTTTTAGTATTTTTCTTTTTTCTTTTATTTATTTATTTATTTTTTTAGTTTCAAAAATTTTTATACATATGTTAAATGTTTTATTCTGTTAGCTAATCTCGTTATCAAACAAATATTTTTTTCTTTTTTTTCATTTTTAGTATTTTCTAATCTGAGGGATCTACTTCCAGTGCTAGATCCACCTGTCTTAACTGTGGTGTTTTTTTGTTTTGTTTTTTAAGCCAAAAGTTTAATAGGGATATTTCAAAAAAGATAAAGGAGAAGAAAACATTTCTTGCTTGGCATACAAGACCGTACAATCATTTTGAAAAACACTTGAATATTTTTTGGTAAGCTAAACATGCAGTCAGCATAAAATCCAGACATCTATCTCCTTGGATATTTACCCCAAATGAGTGAAACCTATACTTATACACATAAAAAGTACAGATGATGATAAATCAAGGAATCCAGTTCTAAGTCTGTATGTTGCATGTTTTTGTTGATTTCCATTGAGTCGAGTCCAACTCCTAGTGACCCTATGAACAAAAGGACTGAAGCCTTTCTATAATTATCATTTATCAAAGTTCAGAGTTTCCAGAGGCATGTTTAGGAAGTGGATGCCACTCGTGATATCCTAGAAAAGGTTAAAATTAGGGGCAGAAAACAGGAACTGCAATAGGAAAGGAATACAAAAGAGCAATTGAGAATTTTCTAGGTTGATTGGTTCCAAATCTGAAATGTGATGATTGTTATATCACTATATACATGCATTTTTAAAATGCAGAGCTATACATTAAAAAGGGAGAATTAAAAAAAAATTATTTCAGTGAAAATTTACAGAGACTTTGGATTTCCATTCATACATTGTTGCACTTTTCTCCCCTCCCAAACCTCCCCCCTAGTACATTACCCTCTTGGAAAAGTAAAAGAAAAATTCTTTCATTGTTTTACAATCCCTCCCCCCCAAGGTCCACTCCACTATGCAGTCTTCACTCTGGACTCCTGTCATGACAAAAATACCTAATCACATATCCCTTTTTTTTTTTTTTTGAAGATGTATAAACTATTTATTAACAGATGAAGCCTACAGACTTATTTCTTCTTGGACACACCCACAGTACGGCCCCGACGGCCAGTGGTCTTGGTGTGCTGGCCTCGAACTCGAAGGCCCCAAAAGTGGCGTAGCCCTCTGTGGGCACGGATCTTCTTCAGTCGCTCCAGGTCTTCACGGAGCTTGTTGTCCAGACCATTGGCCAAAACCTGACTGTATTTCCCATCCTTCACATCTTTTTGTCTGTTCAAGAACCAGTCTGGAATCTTGTACTGGCGTGGATTCTGCATAATGGTGATCACACGCTCCACCTCCTCTTCAGTAAGCTCTCCTGCCCTCTTGGTGAGGTCAATGTCTGCTTTCCTCAACACCACATGAGCATATCTTCGCCCTACACCCTTAATGGCAGTGATGGCAAAGGCTATTTTCTGCCGCCCATCGATGTTAGTGTTGAGTACTCGCAAAATGTGCTGGAACTTCTCTGGGATCACTAGAGACATGGCGGCGGCAGCAACGGCGGCGTGTAGGCCTCCGGTGGAAGAGCATCACATAATCCCTTTTAAACAGTTTTCTCTCTCATCTGTTTCAATGCAGTATACATTATTGAACCCATCTTTCTCAGTCTCCCCCCAACCCCAGGTCAGTCCTGTTTTACATCAGTGGCACCATGCGGTGTTTGTCCTTTTGTGACTGAGATAATTCACACAGTATAATGTGTCCTCCAAGGTCACCCATTTTGATTAATATTGCATGAGTTCCTTGTTTTTCAGTGCAGCATAGTATTCCATTGTGGAAAAGGGAGAATTTTACTGTATGTGAATTGAGCTTCAAATAATCTAAGGCCAGAGATTAAATTCTAAAAGTCACATTACTTTAGACATGGCTAATGAATTTACTGGAATTTAAAGATTAAATTCAGTGTTCTTAAGTGCAGGAAACAAAGACTAAACTTAATGATTACTGTTGGCTGAGTACCTATTATTAGTATGATACTATTATAATTGTTTTAAATAGATTATTTTTAATCTTCAGCAGTCGTGCAAACATAGTGTTGTCTTTTTGAAAGATGAAGTAAACTGAACATCAATGATTGAAAGCTATACTTCTGGGTAACTGCCATAAATACTTGGTTGTCTCAGCAGCATTTTTAGTTATTCTAGTAAATCCAATCTATTGAAACACAAAGGAGGAACAGCTGTAAGCAGACACTAGTGATTGAAACGTGGAATATGAGAAACATGAATGTAGGAAAATTGGACATTGTTAAAAAAAATGGAACACATAAATATCGATATATTAGGTATTGGCGAAGTGAGATGGCTTGGCATGGGACATTCTGATTCAAATGATCAGATGATCCTACTATGCCGGGGATGAAAAGGTGAGAAAACATAGGGTTGCTTTCATAATAAAAAAAGTAATTTCTAGATCCATCATGAAATACAATGTGGTGAGTGACAGGATAATATCCATACGCATACAGGGAAGTACAGAGAGTACCACTATCATTCAAATATATGCACTGACAACTAGAGCAAATGAGGAGGAAATAATTTATACCACCTTATACAGTCAGAAATCGATTGAACATGCATTCAAGATGCATTGATAATAATGGGTAATTGGCATGCAAAAGTTGGGAATAGGGAAGAAGGTTCAGTCACCGGAAAACATGAATGTGGTAAAAGAAATGAAGCTGGGCATAGAATTCTGCACATTCAGTGATTTATTCATTGCAAATACCTTTTATAAGAAACACAGCTTCTCGCTGAACGCCGCCAACATGGTGTTCAGGCGCTATGTGCAGGTTGGCCGGGTGGCCTACATCTTTTTCGGACCCCATGCCGGGAAACTGGTCGCGATCGTAGACGTTACTGATCAGAACAGGGCTCTGGTTGACGGACCATGCACTCAAGTAAGGAGGCAAGCCATGCCTTTCAAATGCATGCAGCTCATTGACTTCATCCTCAAGTTCCCACACAGTGCCTGCCAGAAATACATTCGACAAGCCTGGCAGAAAGCCAATATCAATACAAAATGGGCAGCCACAAGATGGGCCAAGAAGATTGAAGCCAGAGAAAAGAAAGCCAAGATGACAGATTTTGATCACTTTAAAGTCATGAAAGCAAAGAAAATGAGGAACAGATTAATAAAGTATGAAGTTAAGAAGCTTCAGAGGGCAGCTCTTATGAAAGCTTCTCCTAAAAAAGCAGCTGCTGCCAGCGCTGAGAAGGTGCCACCCAAGAAGGTGACTGCTGCGGGCAAGAAGAAGAAAGCCCCGTCCCAGAAGGAGAAGGCTGCAGGCCAGAAGGCTGGACCTCCAAAAGCTCAGAAGGGTCCGAAAGCCCCAGCCCAGAAAACTGCTCCAAAGGCATCGGGCAAGAAAGCCTAAAAGGCTGTTATAAAAGCAATAAAGTTTCTTTGTGACAGACGAAAAAAAAAACCACAAATACACATGGATTTCACTTGATGGTATGCATGGGAATCAAATTGATTAAATCTGTGAAAAGAATTGCTGGAGAAGCTCAATACCAGCTGTGAAAACCAGGCCAGGTGCTGATTGTGGAAAAGACCATCATCTACTCATATGCAAGTTCAAGCTGAAGTTGAAGAAAATCCACGGGAACCAAAATTTGACCTTAAGTCTATCCCACTCAAATTTCAAAACCATCTCAGGAGTAGATTTGAGGCCTTGAACACCAATGAGCAAAGACCAAATGAGCTGGGAGGATATCAAGAATATTGTCCATGAAGAATGCAAAAGATCATTACAAAGGCAGAAGAGGAAGAAAAGACCAAGATGGATGTCACATGAGACTCAACATTGTATTAGAATGTGGAGATTTCAAAACTAGAGAAAGAAATCAAGAAATTAAAGAGCTAAACAAAATTTCAAAGGGCAGCTCGGGATGACAAAGCAAGATGATATAATGGAATGTGCAAAGAGCTGGAGTCAGAAAATCAAAAGGGCCAAACTTGTTCAGCATTTCTTAAGCTGAAGGAATTGAAAAACAAATTCAAGCCATGAGTGGCAATATTTAAGGATGCTCTGAGCAGAGTGTCAAAAGAGCATTAAAAGAAGATGGGAGGAGTATAGAGAGTAACTGTACCAGAAGGAATTGGCTGACACAGAATTTCATGAATCAACATATGAGCAAGAGCCTGTGGTGATGAAGGAGGAAGTTCAAGCTGCTCTGAAAGAATTGGGGGGAGGGGAGGAAGGCTCCAGGAGTTGAGGGCATAGCAGTTGACATATTTCAACAAACAAATTCTGCCCTGGCTGTGCTCAGTAAGTTGTGCCAAGAAATCTGGAGGATAGCCACCTGGCCAACTGACTGGAAGAGATTATTTATTCCCTTTCCAAAAAAAGGGTGACCCAATAGAGCTGAAATTATTGAACAATATCATTAATATCACATGCAAGCAAGAGTCTGCTGAAAATTGTCCAAAAACGACTAGAGCAACACGTCATCAGGGAACTGCCAAATGTGTAGGCTGGGTTTAGAAGAGGCCATGGTACGAGGGATTTTAGAGCTAATGTTAGGTGGATCTTGGCAGAAAGCAGAGAGTACCAGAGTAATGCTTTATCTGTGTTTAATTGTGCAAAGGCTTTTGATCACAACAAATTGGTTGACTCTGAGAAGAATGGGAATCCACAAATGTTTGTACTTAGCAAAACCTGTATTTGAACCAAGAGCATCATTATGGATAAAGATATTGAAATTGTTAACAGTTTGTTTGCTTGGTTCCACAATCAACACTCTTGGTACTAGCAGCCAGGAAATCAAGAGACAAATTGGATTGGGAAAGTCAGCTGTCAAGGACCTCTCCAGAGTACTGAAGAGCAACAACATCAGCCTGGAGACTACGGTGTGCCTGATCCAGGCTATAGTCCTCGCAGTTGTGGCCTATGCATTGTAGAGCTGGACAGTGACTAGGGATGATAGAGAATTGATGCCTTTGAGCTGTGGTATTGGAGAAAAGTGTTGAATATACCATGGACTGCTAGGAAGACAAACAGGTTTGTCCTGGAGAGGGTGAAACTGGACTGCTTCTTGGAGGCAAGGATTCTGAAGCTTCGTCTGGACATGTTGCAAGGAGGGACCAGTCCTTGGAGAGGGACATCATGTTTGCGATGGTGGAGGGACAGCGCAAGAGAGGAAGATACTCGAGATGGATTGATTCAGTGATGGGGTAATGGGAGTAGGTGTGTCAGAGACAGTAGGTTGGCACAGGATAGAGTGTAGGTCTATTTAACAGAATTATAATGGGTGGCCTGATTTCAGATTTCTTGGAAAGCTTGGCATATGCACATATATGCATTTCTCTGAACACCGATGGGGCACAGCAGATTGTCTTCCACATGTGGAGGTGTGCAAACAAGGGCTACTGTGAAGAAGAGAACAGTTACATTTTCCAGTTTGTCAGGGATCCACACTTGTCCTGTGTAGCACTGCAGTTGAGCCCAACCTTTTGTATTTGCAGGAAGACTTTTCCCATGTACTATGCACCACTTAAGATCTTCAGCCTCTTTTGATAATTCCCTGTGATTCCTCTGATTGAAGTTGTCACTACAAGTTTTTTCTACCTCCATGAGAGTGCCATCAAGGGATGGATGTCTCCCCCTCTGGGGGAGGAGCCATTTTAGAAGGACCACTCTCCTGAGAAGATCTGTTCTTTTCCTTAGACTTCCTCTCCTTGTCCAACTTTGGTTTTCCTTTTTTTAAATTTTTTAAATTATTATTTGTGTGTGTACTCTCAAATCAGATCTGACAGCTACAGGAGGAGATTGTCCCTCCTTCTCTAGCAGAGCATCTGGTCGATTTGAACTACACACCTCTGGGATTGCAGTGCATCTTCTTGCCACTAGGCCACCAGAGCTCGCCTTTTGATTTTCTTTATAGTTGTGTATTTGCACCATCTCCTGTGGCACATGTATCCTTTTGATGTGGAAACCACTTTTGATGGAGTCAATGATAATTTTCCACCTTCTGTCCCTTAGTACTCAGTTTCACAGTTGGTACCAGCCTCATACAATGGTTTTGGTGAAGGTTGTTAATTGGTGGCAACTCAGTGGGTAATGGAGGGAAGTTAGTTCTGTGGTCTAGAATCATCCTTACTTTGTGACTGAGCTTTTTCTGCTTCTTCCTCTTTTTTTTTTTTTTTAAATGGCCCAGTCACCTCGTTAGGGGTTTCCATGGAAATTGGTATGTTTGGTTGATTAGCCACCTCTGGCAGTTCTTCAGTTTCCAACACAGATTCAAATTTGAGAATCACATATTCATTCTCTTCCTGCTCCAAGGAATTCTGATTCTCTTGTGAATTCTCCATTGGCGCAAACAGGAGATTGATGAAATTCTTCTTAGTTCTAAAAAAGCACTCATGGGTTTTTGTTCTTTTTTTCTTTTCTTCCTTGTTATGTACCCTTGAATTGGATCCAACTGGCACAGGAGGAGATTGCCTCTCCTTCTCCAGCAGAGCATCTGATGGTTTCAAAGCACACGCCTTCAGGATTGCAGCACAGCTTCTTGCCACTAGGCCACCAGAGCTTCCTTCTCTTGGGTTTTTGAAGGCTTATTATTTCAGAAATGGATAGACAATCCTTATTCTGAATATAGCCTCTGTCAAGACGAGTGCTGTGCCTCTGAGAGCTGAAGATATGCAAATACATACTTATTTAATCTGTTAAGTGCAGCAACATCCAATTCATTCCCCTAATACAAGAAACTGATGGACAAGTGATTATACTCCTAAGAGCACATCCTGAGGACAAGCAGATATAGATACCATGGTATTGGCTGGCAGAGGATTCCTCAGCAGCATCAGTATAGAGTTCAGAATGCCCATTTAGGCAGGTATTGGTCTCCCTGGTTGAGGTAGTGGTGGCACTAGGGAAGGTTTGGGCCTTGGTGTAGGCAGGCTTGTGAGTATGTGTTGTTATGTGCCATCAAGTTTCCTGCAACTCATAGCAACGCTATGTACAGTATTTCTGAACCTTTTCCTGTCCTGAGCCAGTCTCATTGTCTGCAACACACCCACCTTCATTACCGTACTGTGTAAGTCCATCTCATCCAGAGACTTCCTCACCTGTGCTGTCCCCTCCACCTTTCAAAGCATGATATTCTTCTCCAGGGACTGGTCCCTGTTGGCCATGTGCCCACAGTATGTGAGATGGGGTTTCAAAATCCTTACTTCCAAGGAGCAGCTTGGTTTCACCATCTCCAAGGCATATCTGTTTATCTTCTTGGCAGCCCATGGTATGTTCAGTACCCTTCTCCAGCACCACAACTCAAAGGCATCTATTCTTCTGTCAGCCTTAGTTGTCCAGCTCTCTGATTCCTATCAAGGAATTGCAGAGTCTATGGTCTGAATCAGATGCACGTTATTCTCTAGACTGACTTCATTGCTCTTTAGCACTTTGGCAAAGATCCCTGAAAGCAGATTTTCCTAATGCAATTCTGATTGGTCATCCCCTTCTGAAATAACAGGCTTTTGAAAACCCTATGTACAATACACTTGACTAGCAGATAGGGCACCTGAGGCTGAGCATTCAAATTTGGAAACAAATAAGAATAGTTGAAAACAGGCACTAATGATTGGAACATGGAATGTGAGAAGCATGTAATAGAAAAATTGCATATTGTTAAGAACGAATTGGAGAGCATAAAAATTGACATACTAAGTGTTGGCAAAATGAGAGAGATTGGCATGGGCCATTTTTAGTCAGTCATGATTAACTCTGCAGGAAATGAAAAGGTGAGGGAAATGAGGTCTTGCATTCATAGATCCATCTTGAAAATATTTTGCATTTCTAGATCCATCTTGAAATACTATATTGTGAGGAACAGGATAATATCCATATACATACAAGGAAGACTTGTTAATACCACTATAATTCACTGTCAACCAGAACCAGGAGGAAATAGATGATTTCTACCAACTTTTGCAGTAGGAAATTGATCTAACATGTAAACAACATACATTAATAATAATGGGTGACTGAAATGGGAAAAAGTTGAGAACAGGGAAGGAGGATTAGCAGTCGGAAAAGGACTTGATGACAGAAATGAAGCTGGAGATAGAATGATAAAATTTTGTACAATCAATTCATTGCTCATACCTTTTATGAGAAACAAAAGGCAACAATATGCATAGATTTTACCTGATAATATGTACAAGAATCAGATCAGTTACCCTCTCGAAAGAGTCATCGTAGAAGCTCAGTATGAGCTATGAAAACTAGGCCAGGTACTGTTGTGGAACAGAGAGTGAGGACATAAAGGGCAGTAAAAGTTTAGTGTTCAAGTATTGAATAATGCCAATGGTTAAAAAGGCAGTGAAAGTTTGTGTTCCATTTGTCTATAACCTGATGAATTTCTACAGACAAAAGCT